CTAAAATACATAAATAAATAAGAATAATAATAAAATTAAAAATTAAAGTAAAACGTAATATATTTAAGTTTAAAGAATAATATCAGATATTAGTGATAAGTAATATACTTTTATATATTTAATTTTTTAAATATATAATTTAATTTTACAAAATCAAATATTATGTCTAAATATAATTCATTTAATAAAATATTATTAATTTAAAAATATACAATTTCTTTTTAAAATATGTATTATATTAAACTAATTTTTAATGTAAATTTTAGTTAACTCTAATTTTCGGATATCAATTTTATAATAGAATTGCGATAATAATCATTTTTATTTCCTTATTACATTATTAATTATCTAATTTAAATTTTTAATTTTTTAAAATTATAAAAATACAGTAGATAAAAAATTATTTAATTACTTTTTAAAATAACATATATTTTTTTTAAATATGTTAAATTAATTCTATTGTATGTATGCTATTAAGAATAATTAATTCACTTTAAAATTAATCCTCAAAAATTATTAATATAATATATTTTTATTTTTAAAATAATTTAATAAATCAAAATATAATTAAATTTAATTTAATTTTTTTAAGTTTGCTTCTAATTCTTAGCTTAAATATGATGAATAAATTCGATAATTTAAATTAAATAATAATCTATTAAATAAATAATTGAAAACATATAATTAAAAAAAATGGTGAATATTATTAATATTTAAATTACAGATCATTAGAAAGGGCAAATTAATCTTTTATAAATGTAAATATTTTAACTTAAAAAAAATTGTAATTAATTAAAATGAATTTTATTGATAACATTCTAAAAGAGAATATAATAGCTAAATTAATAAGTTAATAAACTTAGATTTGTAGTTTTAAAACTAGTGAATCAAATAAACGCACTAATATATGAAATACAATTATTTTGAAATTAAAATTTTTATTTTTATTCGGTTTTCATTATTTTATTTTTTTGTAAATTTTATATTTTTTGTTTGTTTATTTTATTTGTTTAAACAATTGTCGTTTATTAATAATATTTTTTTAAACAAAAGAGTTTTATATTAATTATATTCCACAATTAATAAAGATATAGTATAAAATAAAAAATTAATACTTAAAATAATTAATAATATAGAGAAAATCTAAATATTAAAAACACTGATGTTTTAATATAAATAATTAATAATAAAAAAAATGTAAATAATCTTGCCATACTTATAAAACTAGAAACATAGACTAAGATAAATATTAAATGCAAAAAATAAATAACGATCATTATTAATGTAAAAAATAAAAAAATACTACTTACCTTTAATTAAATATAAGATTAGAGATAATATCAATTAAATAAATTATTAAAAAGCCCACTTTTTATTGATTGAGATATTATATGAATTAAAGCCTTGAGTAATTTCTTTTAAATATGGTTAAACGGTTAGACAAAATATAAAGATTCAACAGACAATTTTTAACAAGAATTAATTTAGCAAAAGGAATAAAATTACAAAAAAAATGTTGGTATTGACGATAACTTCATAAGATAGAAAAAAATAAAACTCTTATTTTGAACTAGAAGAAAATTGTTTAAAAAAAAAAAATTAAACAAAAACCCTTAATAAAATGAAACATTAAATGATAAATTTATCAAGATATAAAATAATTATAAAAATATGTATAAAATAATAATTTTAAGTGGATTTTTTAAAAGTAATATATTTAAGGAAATTAAATAAATATAATTATAGATAAAATAGTGAAGAAATATAATATTAATAATAAAATTAAATTAATAAATATTACAAAAAATAAAATTTTACTGAAAATTTTAATAAATAATAAATAAATAATTTAAATATTAATTAAATATTAATATTAATTCTAAAAGGCAAATTTATTGTATAAATTAAATATATATATATATAATAATAATTAAAATAAATATTTTAATTTTTTTTAAAATATAATACCTTAATAGAAAATATTCATAAAATAAGTTTATTAAATATTTATAAATTTATATTTTATATATTTGTTTCATTTTCACTTTAAACAATTGATAATTAAAACTAATAAAGTTCTTTTTCTTAATAAGATATTTCTTTTTTTTACCATTCGGAAAAGCTAATTTGAGTTTTTCCCTTTTCTTTAATTTAAATAAATCCAGAATAACAAATAAGGAATTTTTCTCTATCTTTTAAAACCAAATCTAAAACAATAATATCATCAATATTTTCCTTCATTCCTAATTTGTTTGATAAAAACAATTTGTCTTCTATTTTGAATTCTTCATTTATTTCTATTATAAATTAAACTACTTGATTATCATATTATTTAGGGAATAATTTAGTATTAATATATTTAAATACATTTTTCCCATAACAATTATGAATATTTATAATTAACTCAAAATCAGTTTAAAATTTAATATATTAAATTATCGATTCATATTTATATTTTTTTCTTAAAATTAATTTTTTCTTTTTTATTTTCTTCATTTTTTATATTAAGTAAATTTTTAAATTTATTTATTATTTCAATAGCCGAAATTTCAAGAAGAACATATAATAGTTAAGAATCGCCTTCAAAAAATGAAAAAAGCCAATTTTTATCCAAAAAATAATTAAAAGTTTTCATTTTTATTGAATTTTTTAAAATTTAATTTATTTAAAATTTTTCTTATATTTTTATTGATTTTTATAATAAATTTGATACAAAAATAAATTCAATTTATATTTTTTCTTCTTAAAAAATATTTATCTATTATATTTCTTCTATTTTGCAAATCAAATGGGATGTAAAATTATCTAAACTTAATGCTATTTTCTTATTTTGATTTTTTATTTTACCATTATTAATATCTAGATGAACTACTAATTATAATTTTTATAATAATTTATTTCCTAAATTTTCTTTAGTCGAACAATAATTGAATAATTACTGATGTTTTTTCATTATTAATAATGCATTTTGGGTTTATATATTTGCTTAAGTTATACCAATGTATTCCTTTATTATAGCTAACTTTTTTTTTTCACAATTCTCATTTTCAAATTCTGGATTTTTTTTAAAAAAATCTTTTTGTTTTAATAAAGGAAAAGATTTTAATAAAATAAACCATATTTAGTAATTGCTTTGTATTATTGAGTAAAATCTTCGGTTCACTTTCATTAATTTATACAATATCGAATAGTTTTGGGCACAAAAACATATTATTTTGCATATTAAATGAATATTTATTCTTTCAAAAAGATTTTTGTTTTTTATTATTTGCTATTTTTATTATTAACGGATTTATATTCTTTTTTATGCATTGGAGTTAAAAAATGAAGTTATTTTGGGTTTATTAATGCTTTCTTAAGTAATATTGTTTGTCTATTTATTTAATTTTATTTATTATTATATTGGTTTTGATTATTTAGATATTATTTATTTCATTAATATTAAATTTTGTATATATTTAAAAAAATGTAATTTATAATTAATTATTTTAAAATAAATAATTTAATAATATTTTTTAAAATATATATATAAATATAATATATATATATATATATATATATATATATATATATATATATATATATATATATCATAAAACCTTTTTTTTATCATATAAAATTTAAGTAATTTTTATTAGGTTTTTTTAATGTTTAAATGAATAATTAATATTATTATTTTATTATTAATTTTTTACTAATTTAATTTATTAGTATATTTTAAAATAATTTTAAATTTTATATAAAATAGATTTTTTATTATTTAAAGTTAATAAAAAATAGCAATAAATATTATAAATAAAGTTTATATTTAACTTTTTTAAAAAAAAATTTAAAAAAAAAATTCAAAATATTATAAAATAATCAAAATTAAATAAATATAAATTATTATTATTATTATTATTATAATTATTATTATTATTATTATTATTATATTTTTCTTATTTTTCATTTTTATTAATTTAATTTTATTTTTATATATTTTATATATAATATTAATTTATTATTCTTTTATGTTTTAAATATATTTTATATTTATATATATAAAAATAAAAATATTTATCATTTTTTTTTCTTTTAATAATTTTCTATTTTCAATGAAAATATATATTATTTTTGTATTCATAAATAAAACAATAATTATTATAATAATTACAAATTAACATTTATATATTTATTTTTAAATTTAAAGTAAAAATTAATGAAATATTTTTTATTAATTTTTTTATGCATGTTATTTACTAATCTGAATGCATTATTTTAAAATCATAAAAATGTATAAAATTTGACTAGAAATCAAGTGAGAAATTTATAAGCTATATGTGACAATCCTCAAGAATGTAAATATTATTTTGATGGAAATATTAATTTTGAATTTTGTAATAATTAAATAAACTGCACAAGTGCTTGCTATGTTATGATTGAATCTTTTGTTACATTTGTATTATGTTAAAAATAATGATGATATATTCTATGAACAAATAAAAATAATTGTATAAAATATATATTTATATTTTAAATAAAAAAAAATCTATAATTTTTTATTTTATTTTGTTTATAATTTTAAAATATTTAATATAATAATTAGTATTTTTTTATTATATTTAGTTTTCTATTTTTTAATAATAAAATAATCATAATTTAATATAATTAAAATATAAAATATATTATAATATTTTAAAAATATTTAATATTAAAGATTAATAAATAAATAAATATTTTTTTTTATATATATAATTTATTTTAATATTAAAGTAATATTATGTTAATTTTTTATTTGAATATAGTTTGTAAAAATGAATTAATTATAAATATTAAATGTTTAATATGTTAAATTATAATTAATTTAAATATAAATTAAATAATTACAATCAAAAAAATATATATGTTTTTTTTTTTTAATAAAAAATATATAAAAATTAACGTTAATTTTTAAAATGAATTATATATGTTTTATTCAAATAATATAATAAAATCAAGTATATTAAAAACAAACATAAAACTCAAATATCAAGTTCATAGATTTTATTTCTAATTTAATTATAATGTATTTTATTAATTTAGATATTTCTACCATCTACAAATTATTCTATTAATGACTTTTCAGCAAAATAGGCATAGTTATTAAAATTTTCAATAATTATTTAAGTTAGTTAAAAGAGTACGACAAGATAATCTAACAAAACAACATCTTTTTCAATTTCTTATGGTAAATTTTACTAATTATCCTCAATATTATTATTATTCTAAAAGAAATAAACAATTTTCAATTTTATTAAATGATTAATTTCCCTAATTGTCGCTCTTAAATATTTATCTTATAATACATAAAAATTTTCAAATTCAATCAAATTGTTATCATAGAGAATATCTTACAATATATCTTTGTATGTTTCTGTAAATTCATTATAAGTTTGTGAATATTTTAATATATATTCTCCTATTATAATCGAAAATCTTTAATAACTTTCAGTATTTATATAAAAATTCCATTCTGAAAGATTTAATTAATTAATTTAATTATCGCTTAAATTATTGAGTTTTTTAATTTTAATCAATATATTTTTTAACATTAAATATGCTAATTTTTCTTTTAAAAAAGGACTTTCTAAAATTTAACTTTCCATTAAAATTTTATGCAATCTATACAAAAATCTACAATAATTAATTTAAGCTAAAATAATATGATTATTTTGTTATATTTATTCTAAAAATTAATACTCTAAATTATTATTACTATTTTCTATTATTTCAACACTTTTGTCATTATTTGAATTTTATGAATAAGAAAAAATTTACTAAGAATTTTATTGACAAGTATTATCATCATCTATAGTTATTACACATGTTTTATTTTAAGTAGCAAACAAAATATGATTCTCAATTTCTTCTATTCCAAATCTTAATGTATAATCAATTTGCAAGCATCCTTTAATAAAATCTTTTGATTCATTAGATATCTTTAAAAAAAAAAAATATAAATATATATATATATATATATATATATATATATATATATATATATATATATATACATATATAATTTTTTTTATTATTTATTTATTTATTTATTTATTTATTTACATATATTCCATTGTTAGGAAATTGTACTGGAATATTGCAAATTTTATATTTTAAATCTTATTCACTTTCAGCAATCCAAGGAGTACATCCATAGAGAAGCTCATAATAAAGAATTCCAATAGACCAAATATCACTTTTAACATCATATTCATTTTTAAGAAGGCTTTAAGGACTCATATACATCGGAGTCCCTACACTATAATAATATTTATAAGGAGGATCATCAATAAATTTTCCGAAACCAAAATCGGCAATTTTAAAAACTCCATCTTTTATTAGAATGTTAGCCGGTTTTATATCTCTATGTACTATTTTATTATCAACTAAAGCTTTGTATCCGTTGAAAATATGTGATAAAATTTTAAAAGCTTAAACTTCGCTTAAATGATTGTATTATTTTAAAAGCTCTTTAACATCTCCTTGATTGCATAATTCAGTTATTATATATGTATTATTTTAGGTCTAAAATATATCATGGAGCTTCAATATATTAGGATTTTATGTTTATTGTAAACGACGGAGAACATTTATTTCATTACCTAATAAAAATAACTATACTTCATTTGTCATTAATTTCGTGTCGATCACTTTTATAGCTAAATTCTCATCGTTTGTACGATCGTCTTTTCCACGAAATACTATAGAACTGTAACCTCGACCAATCTGATTACTTAATAAATATGAATATTTATCGATTTATTTTCGCTAGATTATGTTTGGTTTGGCATATTATGGAGGAGCTTGCTATATTTATTTTAATTTTTTTTAGTTCATATTTTTTTACTTGAAATGGAAATGTGTATTAGTATGGAATTAGATTAAATTAATTATATTTTATTGCTTACATTTTTATTTAGTTTTTTTATTATAATTTCTTTTGTTTTTAAAAAAAAATGTTAATTATATTTTTTTTTAATTAAAGTTTATTAAAATAAATAAATAAGAAAAAATATAAATGTTTAAATATTATTTTTTATAATTTTGTATGTTTAAAATTAAAAAATTTTTAAAATTAATTTTTATGATTCAACTAATTAATATATAAATATCATTTATATGTAATAAATATGTATAAATTATAATATATATACATATATATATATTTATATTACTTTTTAAAATTGTTTATTTATAATTTATATATAATTATTTTTAAAAATTCTTTCGAATAATAAGTTTTTTTCACGTTTTTGATGATTAAGATTTAAAAAAAATATCGAATAAACAAATATAGATATTGTTAATTGTTAAAAAGTAATAATAATATACATAATTTTTGTTTAATTTATATAAAATATTATATTTTTTTATTTTAGTATATATTTTATTTTTAAATATATAAATGATAAAATATATATATATATTTATTTATTTATTTTTATATATATAAAAAAAAAATAGTTTTAAACCTTTTTTATCAATATAAAAGTTATTTTTTATGTTTCAAATTATAACTGTTCAAACAAAAAAAAGGAAATGAAAAATATAATTACAATAGTATAATTTTTATTTTACAAATTAAAAATATAATAAATATATTAATAATAAATAATGCTATTTTATACTATTATAAACATCTAGATAGTTTATATATTTAATTATACTAAATAAATTATGTAAATAATAAAAAATTTTCATCTTAATGATGTCTACCAATTAATACACGAATTAAAAGAATTTGGAAGTAATATATGTTTAATAACTGCAATGTTTTTTTCTTTAAATTTATCATTATATTTTGGCATAGTAAGATATCTATCTAGCCCATTTTAGTATAGTTTTTTTTCCTCGTAAATGCTTTATTGTCTAAATTATTTTTTTATTTATAATTCATCTTTAAATTTTGGTAAAGTTTATGGAATTAATTCATTATTGTTTTTTTTAGGAATATTATTCCATTTTTTCTCCATTTATATTAATTTATTATCTATACATCCCCTTAATCCACTCTCGAATTGAAATGCAGATAAATTATTTGGAGAACCTATTCTATGTCTTATTAAATGTTCAATTTTTGCAAGGTTTTTTCCTTCTATGTTTACGTCTTTTGAATTCTTTGTTTTTTCGCTTGCCATTGTTTTCTTTTCGTATACATTAAATGCTATATTTGGTATTCTTTTGTTTATTTCTATTTATAAATCTTCCGATGAACGTAAATTTAATACCCATTATATATCTTAATAATTAGTTAAAGGTAATTTTAAAAATTATATATATGCGCTTATGTTTTAGGAGGTTTTTTAAGGGGTTTATTTTTTCTCTTTGAGGTTGGTTAAGGCATTTATTTGTTTTTTTTTTTCAGGAGTTAAATATTTTTGAGTTTAGGAAAGTTTTTATTTTTAAGAAATATTATTTTTTGATGAAATTTATTATTTATTTTTTTAAGTTTAAAAATTTTAGGGTTAAGGAATATTTTTCATGTTTTTTATTAATTTTTTTTTATTATTTTTATGGTTTATTTTATATTATTTAAATATGCTTACTTTTTTTATATTTATATATTTTTTTTTTTTAATATTTATAAATATAAAATATATATTAAAATAAAAAAAATTACAAGTTTTTTATAAGTTTGATAAAATATTCAAACATAATCAGTGAAATATAATTTTTATTAAAAAATAAAATAAAAAAAAAATATTTATCAACCAAATAATTCCATAGCAATTTTTTTATTTTATGATATTATATAACTAACATTACCAATTCTTACTTAATCTAAAACCCTAATATTATTATACATACTATCTAAAATAACTTCTATACAATTAACTTCATCAATAAGTCCGTATTTTAAAGCCTATTCAGGTTATATAGCACCTTAATTAAGTAAATTTTAATTAAGTACTTCATTTGAAAGTTTTAATTTATTAAAATTTTCTAATCTTTTTTCTATAACTAATTCTTTTAATTATTATTCTTAATCTTATAATCTTTTAAGCATCCATTATTTATCTTCAGTAAGGAATTCTTAAAAAGGATTCATTTTTAATTATTTAGTATGTATAAAATCTACTTATACGTTTTTTAAGGCATCTTTATATCCGAATCCATTATAGACATATCCGAAATCACCCAAAATCGAATATTTATCTTTTTTAATAAATATATAAATAAATTAATAATATAAATAAATTTATTTTTATTTATAATTAAAAAAAAAAAAAAATTAAAAAAATAAATATATATATTTTATAAAAATATATTTTATAATATGTATTTTAATAAAAGAAATAAAAATATAATATGATAACATAATAAATATATATATTAAATAAAAATACTTGCAAATACTTTATTTCCTGATGCTAAAATTAAATTAGCACTATTTAAAACTTTGTCTTAAGCAAAAGTATATACAGGAGCACTTTATTTTTATTTATTTATATATATCTATAAAAATAAATATATAATTATTTAAATATAAATATATATTTATATATTTATATATTTATATATTTGTATTTTAATTTTTTTTATTTTAAATAGTTAAATATATTGATTTTTATTTATTTATATAATATTTTTATTTAATATTTTGTTATATTATTATTTATATATTTTTATTTTATTTTTTTTATATCTTTTTATTTTGTTTTTTTTTTAGATTAGTTTTATTTTTTTTATATTCATTTATATTGTTTTTTTTTTAATTTATACTTGACTCTTTTCGCAAAATATTATAAAGAATTTGTAATATTTTTTGCTTATATTAGTGATCCTTTTTATTTTTTATATCATTTTTTTTTTTTAATAATATTATTACCTCCAGCTGAATTTATAGAAACTGCGATTAGATGAATATCGTAAAAATGCTTATTGTGTAAATATTAATGTAATTCTACATTCCTTAATATTTTTTATTTTTTTAGATTTTTTTTTATTAAATACATTTTAGTGTCTATTGGTCCATACAATTTAACGTGAAGAACTCTTGATCTTAAATAAGTTAAAATATTCATTTTTTTATTTAATTTATATTATTTTTATTTTAAATTTTGTTTCTTTGTTTTAAAAATAAATATTGAAAGATATAAAAATAAGTTTATATTTTAATATTTTTTATTTTATGTTTCTAAAAAAAATAAATAAATAATTTTAAATTTTTAATAAAGAAAACTATAAAAATTTCAAAGATCTATAGTAAGTCCTTCACAAGTAATTCCATTAAAAATAAAAGTATTATTAATAGGCAAAAATTACTCAGTGATTAATTTAACGCTTTCCTAAGCTACAATCCCTCCTAAAAAGGCTACAATATTATGTAATTAAGCCCCTTCATATCTACAAATTTCCTGTATAAATTCTATTCCTATATCTTCATTTAGTTTAAATACATATTTTTTCTATTATTATATAATTTAATTTAATTAATTTTCATCTCCTGGACCTGGAAATTTTCCATATTAAGAATAAAATACTAATGAACTTTATAAGCAAACAAACCATATATGATTTAAATTTTCATTATTTTCAATTTATTAAGGACTAGTAATTTATTTATATATAGGATTATAATTAATAACTTCTAAACTGTAGATGTTTTCTAAAAAAGTTTCCACAAATTCATTATCAATAGTAACTAAAGGAAAATTCTTATTTAAAATTTATAAAAACTTAATTTTATCTTAATTATGTTTATTGACGTAAATTTCCTTTAATTCAATATACCATTAGGAGGTTGATTTCATATCAGGAATAGTCTTTTATATAGGCATATAATTATTATTTTCTTTTAGAAAAAGTTTAAGGTTTTTAACTAGAAGCCAAAATTTATTTTTATTGTCTATGGAAATTTATTCTTCTAAAAGGAAAATTTTTTGTAGATTTTCTGGAATTTCCTAGTTGTTTTTACAAGCCCAGTATGAATATTTTATGGCTTCTTCGTAGTTTTCTTAATCTTTTGGTAACAGGTATTTTTTCATTTCGTCCCTTATTTATTATTTGAAGTTTATTTTTTCCTGGAAAGTTTAAGGCGGCTGATTGTTGTTGTTTTATTAATATATTTATATATGTTTGGCTAAAATGACCAAAAAAGGGACATGAGAAAGCTCTGTTTTTTCCCCATTTTGTTAAGAAAGTGCCTCTAAATCGAATTTATTGATAAAATTTTCAAGTTCGTTAAAAGGTTGTTAAATTCTTAAGAAAAACTCATAAAAACTCCTTTCTGGTCGAGATTCGATTATACAATGTTGGCAGGCTTAAATTTATATAGAAGATAAGAACCCATTGGAATTTATGGAGATTAATTTTATATTTTTATTTTCACATTTTTCGGATAATTCAATAAGGGTTTTTCGTGGAAAATTAGAAGCAATTATTAAATCGTAATTCTCAATAAAAGAGTCTTCTAGGCATTTTTTTAGAGGGTCTTCGTTTATATAATCGCCTTTTACATCTTCTGGGTTCATTTCTATCAGATTTTTGGTAATAGAAAGACCTCGGGGGTGGTTCAAATAGTCTGGAGAGCAAAAAAAATTGGTTCCTAAGTCTCTTTCGGTCAGTATTTGATTGTCTACTATTGTAAAATAACCACAGCCGGGTAGGACGAGGTTCTTTAGGGCTTCTGTTGATGATGGATGGGCATTTAATATTAATAGTTTACTTTCAGAGAGATGTTTTTGACCTTGGGGACCCCAAAGACGGAGTTAACGATCATATTTGTTGGTTGTTGACATTTTTGTTTGTGGACAAATTTTATATGGAATAGGATTTTTGGATGTTTTTTTTATTTTGTTTGTTTTTTTCGGTTGTTTGTTTTTTTATTTTATTTCTATATTCATATATTATTATTTTTATAAATATAAAAGGTGGATTTTTTTTTTTTATAAAATATTAAATTTTTTTATTTTTATAAAAATATAAATAATTATGTAATTAATATTTTTAAATATATATTTAATATTTTATTTTTTGCTTTTAAATACTATATTATTTTATTAATATTAAAATAAATTAAATAAAAATTAATAAAAAAAAATTCATTTATAAAAATTAACATATTCATACATAAAATAAAAAAAATTATAAATTTTATCATCAAATAATAAAAAATAAACATAAAAAAAATATGAACAAACTCAAAGAAAAATTATTAGCAATAAGTAAAAATTCAGGCCTAAGTCCTCCAAAAAATATACACCCCAAAAGATTAAATACCGAGTGTTCATATTAGTAAAAATCAGCCAGACTATCTGTAATTTCTAAAAACACAGCATAAGTCTGTATAAATTTGTCCCAAAATAAGCTCTCTACATCAAATTCTCGAATAAATACCCAGAAATTAACCGCAAAATAATCATATAATGATAGAGGTGGTTAACTTTCTCTAAGAGGTATAGATGAAATTCAAAAAGCAAGTGATTAAAATAAGTTAATGTCTACTTTAAAAAACTAATCATAATAATATTGTATATAGTAATAAAATTAATAACAAGAATAATTATAAACAAGTTTTAAAAATTAAATTAAAAATTTTAATAAAATGAAGACTAATTATAATAATAATTTTTAACTAATTAAAATAATTCTACATCCATACCTACATTTACAGATTTTGCTTCATAGAATAGACTCTCTAATAGTATTAAAGTACCCTAAACAATTATAGAGTAATAAAACTTATAAAAAAATCAAATATCTATCGAAAATATAGCTAATGATAAAATATTATAATATAATAAGAATTTAATGGAAGGTTAAAATATGGCTTAATAATTATTTAAAAAAAATTACAAAAATTAAAATGAAAATTCTTTTAGTTAATCAGTCACAAATACTCCCAGAAAAATTATATAGAAAGACAAATATAAATTAATGTTAATAAATCAATAAGAAAATCAAGGAAAAGAATAAAATGGAAATGTTAAAACTTACGTACGTTTCAGACCTAATAATTAAGCTGAACTAGATTTAAATAATAACGGTTTGGGGCAAAATGTTATAATATTTATTAATTCTTAAAGCGTAAAATTGATTAATGATAGTTCCTCAATATATGTTTTAGATAAAATATTTCCTCCGGAAACAGTTTAGGAACTTATATATGAAGAAATAGCAGTAGAAGTAGTTAATGATGTATTAATAGGCTATAATGGGACCATTTTTGCATATGGAGTTTCAGGAAGTGGAAAATCTCATACTATGTTCGGAAATATAGATGATTAATAATAATAGGGAATTATACCAAGAATGTGTGAATAGCTTTTTGAGAGTGTTAATAATGAAGAAAATGATTCTGAGTATATAATTAAGTGCTCTATGTTGGAAATTTATAAAGAGAATTTATAAGATAGTTTGAATAATATTGAAGAAAAAGTTGAATTGAAAATTAAAGAACATCCATAGAAAGGAATTATTGTCTAAGGACTTGCTTAAAGGATTATTTAGGATGAAAATGAACTTATGGATCTGATAGATTTTGGATATAATAATAGATAAACTAGGGCTACAAAACTTAATGAGTATAGTTCAAGATCTCATACAATTTTTATGGTTTAAATTACATAAAAATTCCCTAATGGAGCGGAAAAAAATGGAAAGTTAAACTTAATTGATTTAGCAGGATGTGAAAAAGTGTCTAAAAGTGGTGCAGTTGGTGAAGGATTAGAAGAGGCAATAAAAATTAATGTTTCTTTGACTTGTTTAGGTATTATTAATATTTATAAAGATATATATAAATATAATGAATATATTTTATAAATATATATTAATAAATATATATATATATATATATATATATATATATATATAATATTTTTTATAAATAGGTAAAGTTATTCATGCTTTGACTTCAGGTTAAGATTATATTCCTTATAGAGATTCTAAATTAACTAGAATTTTATAAGAATCTTTAGGTGGAAATTATAAGGTTTTTTTTTTAAATTATTTTATTTTAAATAAAAACAGACTTCTCTTATTGTAACATGCTCCATGCATTCTAAGTTTTAAGATGATACTATTTCATCTCTTAAATTTGCTACTAGAGCTAAAAAAATTAATAATCATTATAAAGTTAATATAACACATTCAGCTGATTCATTAAAATAAACAATTTAATTATTAAAATAAGAACTTGTTTAATATAAATTTTTTATTAAAATTATAAGTAAGCTTTGATAAATGTAAGAGAAGATCTTAATAATATACCTCCTTAAACAATATGTGATAAAATAAAAAACATAAGTAAAAACTATTATAATTAAATAATTTATATAAATAAATTATATATAAATATTAAAAATATATATATATATATATGTATTAAATATATAGAAAATGAATTAGATATGCTTTTAGATATTAAAAACTAAATAAATTACTAGTAAAGTTTTAATTAATTAAATTCTAATTCAGCAATTGGTGTTTCTTAAAATATTTTATAAAGTGATATTTTAATTAAAGATAATAGTATTATAGGTTGTGGAAATAATTTATTTTAAATAAAATTAAAAGTAAAAGACGAATAAATAAATTCTTAGAAATAAAGTATTAATGATTTAGAAGAAAAAAACAAATAATTATAAATAGAAATCCTTTTAATTAAAAAATAAAATTTTTAAATATAAAATTAATTGAATGAACTTAATAATGAGAAAAATGTTATATAGGCTTAACATTGTAAAGAAGTCATAAAAAATAATTTTAATAAATTTTAGTTGGAAATTTTATAAAAATAAATATAAAAATTAATTGATTAAATTTTAAAATTAGAAAAATAAAATTAATAATTGCTCTTAGAAAAAAAAAATATTTGTAAGTTTTTTATCTTTTTAAAAACTATTATATATATTTTTTTAGATGATACAAATTTTGACAATTTATTAAAAAATAAAATCAGCTTTTCAGAAATTAAATTAGCTGATTATTTAAATAAAAATATGAAATTAAATCTTGAAGTTATATATATATATATATATATATATATATATATATATATATTATTTATATATATATATTATATTTAGACTGTAAATAATAAGGATTTTTAAAGAGTCAAAAATATAACATTAGATAAATTTGATGAAGATATGCTTTTAGATTAGTCTGAAAACAATCAAAGTGATACTTAATCATTGTAAAAAACATTAAAAAAGATAAAATATTTATAAATAAATATAATATATATTTTTTAAAAATATAATAAAGATCATAATACGATAATGATTAATTTATATCAAATTTTGAATATCGTTAAGGTTTGTAAAATTTAAATTAAATATTTGATTTGCCGAACAAAATAGAAGATGCGTTAATTAAAGAATAAATTTCATCAGAATTTATTAATATTTAATTAAAAAAAATAATAATTAAGTAAACAATAATTATATATTATAAAAAAAACAAAAAATATAGTTCACATATAATAAACTAAAATTTATTAAGAACTATAAGTGCTTTAGAATGGAAATAAATAATTGAATATGGAAAAATGAAATTAAAAACCAATGTAATAAAACATTAATCAAAACATATAAAAAGATTAGAAAAAGTGATTGAAGATTGTACTAGAAATAGTAAATAGTTACGATAATAAATAGAAGATATAGCTTCAGATATGGATAATTTTAAATAAAATTAGATGACACCTACTAATAGTTAATTGTCAAAATAAAAAATAAAATAGTAATACAAAATTTAAATACTAAAAGTTTTTGTTAATGTAAATATGGATTAAGTAAATTTGGTTAAGAAGAATAAGGATTAAGTAAATTTGGTTAAAGGAAAAATATTTTAAATAATAATAATGATTTTAGAAAAAATGATCATAATTCAATCGAAGATGTTTATAAACAATTTAAATAATGTATATAATAATTATATATATATATATATATATATATATATATATATTTATATATATGAATATATATATGTTTTTATGCAAAAATATATAATTTTATTTTTTAATTTTTTTAGAAATTGAAAACGCTGAAAAAAATATTCTTCCCTTAACATATGAAAATGCAATATTAGATATTTAAGAAAAAAATAATTTAGTAAAAAATTTAATACTTTAATCTAAATAAAGCTCAGTTTTATAAGAATGTGGACTCAAATAATGTGATTAGGAGATGTTAAAGGAAAATTCACGATTATAAAATAAAGTATTAATGCTTTAAAATGAATATTAAATGGAATAAACAAAATCTGATTCATATAAAGAAGCACTTTAAGTAGAAAGGAAAAATCTTAAATAATTAAAACTATTGAATGAATAAATGGAAAATACTCTTAGAAATAATCTCAAAGAAGAAAATGAAAGCTGGTAAAATACGATAAATACTATAAAGGAATAATATTAGAAAGAAATGCTAAGAAGATAATAAGATTATAACGTTTTAAATTAAAAATTAAATGATGTCATTGATGAATCTTTAATAAAGTAAAATATTTTTATTTATATATTAATATTAATATATATATATATATTTACATCATATAATATATATTTATTTTTAAATAATAAGGTTTGATTTATTAAAGAAAAAAGAAAACTTAATTTTTATTTAAGATATAGACAATATTATTTAGTTTTTATCTTAATATAAAAACAATATGCATTTCACATATGAATCTAAATAAAAATAGAGTTAGTTTGTTGTTTCATTAAATGCATAAACATAAAATTAAATAAACAATATTACTTAATTTAATCCAAAATGAAATATATGATATTAATTAATAATTTATTTTTATAAAAAAAAAAAATTAAATTTATTATGTGTTATTTCTGAAAATATTTTTTTTAAATATTTTAAATAATTCATTTATATTATTATTTTTTAATATTAAATATATAAAAAATAAAATATCATAAAAACTATGATTTACATAACGGACATTCACTTTTATTTGAAGATTTAAACCATTTATGAATACAAGCCGAGTGGAATTTCTTCTTGCAAGTTTTACACGGTAATTTCGGTAGTTCTCCTGTCGTAGAATTTATTACATAATAACAAATAGCGCATTCTTCTAATCCTTCAAGTTCTTTATCTAAATTATTTTTCCACATAATCAGTACATTTTTAATAGTGTTATTTTAATTAAAAAGTAAAGATTTCATCATTAACATCCATTTATTTGTTTTTTATTAATTAACTTTCATTCCTCTTTTTATTTCCGTTTAAATTGGCTTAATAGGATATTCATTTGGTATTTTTAAAATTATTTCGAGTTTTTGATTTTCCTTAGTATAAACAGCAAATATTTCCCTAGTATTTTTAGTTACATATATTGTGAATTCTTCACTCTACCATTCATGTTAACTTAATTCGATTGTGTCTATTTCTTTTAAGAAAAGTGCAGTACTAATAAAACTTTTGATTAAGTACTCAGCGATTTTAACATGCTTTTTCTCAGCAGTATTTTCAAGCCAATTTCTTAAATAAAAAGGAAAATGTGAAGCAAAAATATATAAGGTTTAAACTTATAAACAAAAGAGTGATTCTTTAGATAGTAAATCGGACCTAAATATATATATATATATTTAAGTATATATATATATATATATATATATATATAATAAAAATATTAGTTTATACCATTCAGGATTTACGTTTTATACTTATTCTACTGTTAAGAGTTATTTTTGGGTATTTTCGGATATTTCTAATAAGTCTATTTATTAAAAAAGTTGGGAAAGGAATTATTTATATATATTTTTGTTTTCATCAAGGTGGTATTTTATTGCTTTTTTTACTATTTCATGATTTTTGTCAGTTTCTGGGCTATTTAATTTATATATTAAGCAAATCCAGGTCATTAAATGTGAATATGTAGAAGGGTCAATTATTTCTTCACCTTCTAAAGGGTTTTATTAGTTGTTGTTGATATCTAGGTATTTTAAGAGGTTTAAAATATTCATATGTTCGTGATTTTGAAGAATTTCTTCTGAAATTTCAGCGTTATTAGGTAATAGAGATGTTATTTTGGGAGAAAAGCCTAAATAGAATTATTTAAGTAGGATAAAAGCGCTCTTTTAAATTGCTGGGAAGGGACAATTGAGTAATTCGTAGGCTAAATTTTCATCAAAATACTCATTTAAAACATTAACAAACCTTGAAATAGTCTCTGCGAATTCCAAAAAGAGCAAATCATGATTTTATTATAGAAAAAGATGAGAATTTTGCTGGTTTATATTAAAAAATTCTTAAATTTATGAAAGACAAGTATCTATAGTATTATGTAAAATAAAATCTGTAAATTCAGGTGATGCTTTTGGTAGCATTTTTCTCATAAAAATAAGTGAAGAAATAAGTACATTGGAAGTCTACTTTTTAGTTTTGGAGTTTTCAAAAAAGACTTTTTTAAGAAGATTTTCTATTTCGAAAATGGAGGAAATATTGGAAATTTCATCATCGTTTTTGGAAAATAAAAAAGATAAAAAATCAAAAAAAATAGAAATTTTAATATTTTCATTATTTTCATTTTAATTGAAATAATTCTAGTATTAAAAAAAGTCATTTATTTATATCTATTAACCTTCCGTAGTATAAAAATCATTTGGAAATCCATCTTTTAAAATATCAATATATATAGCCTTTTAGAAAATGGATATTTCCTCATTATATAAGGAAGATAATAAAAAATCTTTTAAATTCTAAGTTGTTTCTTCAGGAAAAATTATTAATATGTTTTTTAAAAAATAATATTTTTTTATTAAATTTTCTTCATTTTCTTCTAGATTTTCTAATGTAAATATTTATGGATTTTATTAATAAATTTTAGTCAAGAAATTTGTATTTTTTTCGTTTTTTTGGAGGTAATTTAGTAATTATTAGAAGGGTTTTATATATAAAATTGAATTAGAGAAGATTTAATTAATAAAATATAAAATAAAAGGCATTATTTAGTCATTATTTTGACTATAAATTGCCTAAAAAAGTGGCAAAATATGCCCAAACAAGATTTATTTGAAAAATTTTTTCATTTTAATGCTTTTTTATAAAGCATGAAGTTATTAGGTTGAAAGAAGATTTAATAAGAGCCAAAAAAGTTGTTTATTTTGTATATTATTTTCCAAAAAAGTACTTAGAAAATCTTCTAAAAACGAAAAAATAACAAATAGAATTTTCCAAGAAAAAACACTAAAAACAATTTAAGAAGAAAAAAATTTTTCCTATAAAATATGAAGAGATATATTTTCCAAATTTTCCTCTTTTTTTTTTCTGTTTTTATTATTATCTACAAAACTAAATGTTGTTTATAAAAAATTGATGAAATTTTCTTATTCTTATATGTTATTATTTTCATTGTCTTAATTAAAAATTGTGGTCATTTTTTTACCCAAAACTTCCTTTAAACTATCCAATATATAAGTTTTACATATAGCATTTTTTTCGATTATTATTTTTAAAATTTATAGTATTTTTTTCACTTTTTAATCTTCTTTTTGTTCAATTAATGTACTTATATATAAAAAAATATTCTCTAGAAATTCATTTTGTTAGTCGTAAATTATAAAAGAGCAGAAAAGATATAAATTCTCAAGCTCTTCTTGTATTTTAGATTCTTTATTTTAATTAATAGTATAATTTAAAACTCTTTTTTAGATCTCTTGAATTATTTTTTGCATTATTTTTGACTTATTTTTCTCTTTTAGGTAATTTCGCCATATACTGACTAATATAGGCATTGAAATTCTCAAAAACTTATCTATTTTAAATAAAAACACATCAATAATTTCCTCCATGAAATCTTCAAGAGTTTCATCGTTTTTTAAATAAGTTTCATTTTTTATATTGAAATTTTAAATATTCCTCATAACATCCTCTATTTATAAAAATTAATAATTAAAATTTTCCTTTTACACAGAAAAATACAATGACGGAACATTAAAATGTGCAAAATGTAAAATTAAACATAAAAAAAATTATATTTTCGGATCATTTTAGTTGATTTTTTTCAATATATTTTCTTTTAGAAAAACTAGTATATTTTACTCATATTAATTATCATTCCCCGATCTGAACGAATGGAAAATATGTGCGATATAAGTACAAAATTATTCACTAGGATTTATTTCTTTTAGAATTTTTATATTTTCTATATATACATTTAAACCATTTTATACTAAAATTAAACCCTTTTAAGTCTCTACTTTTTAAAAAATTGTATTTTCGACATTTTTCTAAGGCAAAATGCCTGCAAAGAGTTTATATTTTTCAAAAAAAGGCAATATACTTGAAATTTGGGTGTCATTTAGTAATTAATTTAAGTTTTAATTTATATCTTCAAGTAGTTCAGTGTTTATTTCTTAGAGAATTTCCACAAATTTATCAAAGAAATACATTTTAGTATCTAAAATTAAACTCAATTCTTTTATAATACTTAAGAAATTAATAAATTGGTGAATTTCAGATTTTTTAAATTAATTAGAAAAAAGTCTTTTGAATTCAATAATAAAGTCTCCAAAAGCAATATCGTATTTTTATTATTATTATTATTGTTAATTATCTGTTTCTTATATAGTAAAATGGCTTAAAAGTTAAGCATAGAAATTCGGAATTTTTTTATATACATTTTATATATTATCTTAATTATATTCTTTTATATAAATATTTAAAATTTAAATAAGGGATTCTCTGATAATATTTTTGCTTTATTTTTAAAGATTTTTAAATAAACATTCTTAACTAAAGAGTACTTTCCAGAATCTTTTTATAATAATAAAATATAGACTTTCAAAAAAACACTATATAAGATTTTCTGAAAAAAATCTTATTTCATCATTTTGAAAACCTAATAAAATCGCCTCTAAATATTTTTTTAAAAAACTTATTTTTTCTTTTATTTTCTCCTCATTATTTTCCGTTAAATCAATATTAGATAATGGTATTTTACTTAAAAAAACTAATAAATTTTCATAAAAATATTTTCCAATGCCCCCTCCGCCTTTTTTTATTATTTCCAAGCATTTACTTTCCATCATTTTTAAATCACATTTAATTAAAATATTAAACTAATTCCCTTTATCGATAATTTTGATTAAGCTTCTATTTTTCCAAAGTGCATTTTATATACTTCTCTCTTTTTCGTCCAAAAAAAAGAGTATATTTTTACACAAAACCTCTATATGTTTCCTTATACATTCCTCATTTAAAATTATCATTAAAGTTCCTATTAATTCTATAGATGAGGCTTTTATTTTTATACTTTTTTTACTTAATAAGTCCAAAACAATAATTTTTTGACCTTAAAAAATAATTTCTTAGATTTTTTTTAAATATTCTTCTCTTTTTTTTTCTTCTTTAATAATTTCATTACCCATTTCAATTGATTTTAGAGCACAAATAACTATTCTATCGTATATTTCTTAAGCTTAATGATCATCTAAGTTAAGATTTTCCTATTTAATTTATTTTTGTGAGATTTAAAAGACGTAATTTAGGTGATTAAAATAAGATTAAAAAGCTAAAAAAAAAGCTTGTTCTTATTTTTCTATTGAAGGAAAAATTTCAAAAAAACATTCTTTTGCTAAAATACTTGTTTCTTATTATGGATCATTCATTTGTAAAAAAAGAAAGGGAAATATTTATTTAAAAATCGGCTAAATGCATTTCTTGTTCTTTTTAATTAAAATTAATAATATTTAGTTTGATTCTTCGAATATTTTTCTTTCATATTCTGAATTCATAAATTATTTGTAAAAATAAGACCATGTATTGCTAAATTAAACGAAAAAATCTTCACCTTCTTAGTTTTTTAATAACTCTTTCAAATTATTTAATGCTTTAAGTTTTGTAATTTGGTTTTTTTTGTTTAATTAGTTTAGTTATTATTATATTTCACCAGGTAAACTATTATTTTAAAATTCTTAAGTTTATAATTCTTCTATTTTAGCATTAGAGTTAATTTTTTAGACGTATTCAGAATCAACAACAGCTTTTTTTTATTAATATATTGCAGATAATTGAGAAAATACATTTGTGTTTTCATTTATATGAGATATTAAACTAGATTCTTCAATGTTTTTAGATAAAGCAGATTTATCTTTTGTACCTTTTTTTTTTTACTTTATGTCAACTATATTATCCATTTTTTATTTTTTCCCTTAATTTTTTTATTGAATATATATATATTATTTATGATATTTGGTTAATTAGTTAAATTTTAAATATAAATAAAAAATAATTACTTTAGTAAATTAAATAATATAAAGAAAATAATATATATATATATAAATATATAAATGTATATATATATATATATATATATTTTTTTTTATATATATATATATATATATACTTTTTATTATACATATAAAAATTTATTTTTATTTTTATATTAATTCTTTTTCTATATTTATATATATTTTTTTCTATTAAAATATATTTAATTTTTATATTTTCTAATTCTAATAATTATTATTAAATTATTTTATTTAATAAATTTTATAAATTTGTTTTCAATTATTTTTTCCTAATGAAGCATCATGCTTTTTATTTAAAATGCATTCTTTCATTCTTGATATATCCTTTTCACTTTTTTATTCGCCAGGTTTTAGGTTAATATTTGCAACAATTTTATCCCATGGATTTTTCTAATATATTTTTTATAAAAATTAAATTTTAAACTTTTATATTTATAAAAATTTTATTTACATATTGTTATTATTTGCGACATTCTATTTAAACCTCTTCTTCTTATAAATTTACTTCCATTTTTTTTTTAATCATGTTTTCTTTCTCTCTTTTATATATAAAGGAATATTTTGATTTTATAAAAAAAAAAAACAATTTCCAATTTTAAAGATATTATCTTGCATTTGCAATTCGCTTTCTTTTTTCTTCGATTTCTTTATTCTTTAATTTAATATATTAATAAATATAAAAAAAATATAAATTAACTTATCTTTAAATAAGCTTATTCATAATTTCTTATTCTCTTTATTATAATTTTAACTTTCTTTTCTCTTATTCAGTTAGTTGTATTTCCTCATTAAAAAAATAAAATAAAAATAAAATAAAATAAATATTAATATAAATAAAAATATAAAATATAATATAAAAATATAAATATATATATTTTAATTTTTTGAATTTACAGGTTATTATACTATTTACTTAGGTGAAACTTATTCTTAATTATAATTATTTTAATTAAAAACTTATTAAGTACCCTATTATTATTAAAATGAATTAACTTTTTATTATTATTAATCATTTCCAAAAGGTAAATCATAATTATCATCTTTATTATTATTAACATTTTAAAAATTATTTTCTAAATATATACATTAATATTTATTTTTATATTTATAAAGTTAAATAATATGTTAATATATATATATAAATATATATATTTTTATTTTTATTTTTATTTATATATATTATTAATAAAAAATAATAATAGAAAATGTATTTTTACAATCATTATTTGTTTATTAAGCACCTGCACCGAAAAAATCATCATCTTAAAATTCATTATTTTATTAATTATATATATTATTGTCTTATTATTATTATTAAAATTATTCTTATCCAAAAAAGTCATCATTTTGTTATTATTATCCAAAAAAGTTTTCATTATTTTCTTAAAATATATTATTTTATTATTATTTTTAATTTTCATCACCATCATGATTTTTTACTTCTTAATCTACTTCGAATCCTGCCTATTATTAAGTATTTCCGAAAAAATCGTCTGCTCCATTATTTTAAAATTCCTGATTTTATTCATTCTCTTATTTTTCTTAAATATTATCTTATTATTCTTAATGTGTTTAATCATCATCGTAAAAAGCATTTTTTGGTGATTTTACATCTTTTTCTTTGGGAGTAAAATTATTCTTTTATTCTATTTAAATTTAAAATAATATATTTTTTTACATTAATTATTTTGATTGTCATCGAAAAAAATCATCCATTATTATTTAATTTAATAATTATATTTATTATTTTTATTTTTAGTTTTTTTTTAATAAAATTTTATTTATGTTATAGTATAAAAAAATAAATTTTATTTATATAAAATTAATTTATATTTAATAATATATTTTGATAATTTTTTATTAAAAATAATTTAATATTTTATTTAATTAAATATTTATTGCAATAAACTAAAATTAAATATTATAAATAGCAATATTATTTTTGTAATATTATATTTAAATAATGATTAATAATTATTTATTATATAATGATTAATACAAAATTATTATTTAATTTTAATATTAACTTAAAAATTTTTTTATAAAAAAGTAAAAATATTATTTATTTAATTATAAAAAATATTATTTATTTAATTATAAAAATTTAAATATATATATTTATATATATATATATATATATATTCTTTTAATTTTCATTAATTCATAATAATAATTTTATATTGTAATATTTTTTTTATATTATGTTATTGATTAATACTTGTTTGTTAATGTTTTATATATAAACCTATAATAATTTTTTTTAATTTATTTTTTTATAATATTAATATTTTTAATAAATATATATTATTTTATATTATTACGAGTAAAAATATAATGTTATTATTTTTTTATATAAAAAAATAAAGCTTTATGAGTTTTCTTACACGTATATATAATATAACATACTTTAAATCATAATTAAAAAAACATTTTTCTATAAGAATATATTATATTTTATTTTATTATTATTTTTAATTAATATTTTTATTGATATTTCTATAATGTATTCTTATATAAAACAAGAAAAAAATAATTTCTAATTTTTTTATTTAAATATCTATTAATATTTAGTAATTAAATATAATAGATACATATTTTTTTATAATTTATTTATTAATTTTTTTTCTATTATATTCTATTCTAGTAATTTATAAAAAATTTTCAAATATTAATTAATTATTAGAATAAATATTATTTAAAAAAAATATGGATCATCAAAATTGGGATTACACAACTGTTAATAAAAAAAGTAAAAAAATATAATATTATGTATAATTATATACTTCTCTTTAATATTTTATTTGAAACATAGTCACTTAAAAAGGTGAAAAAGCTGTTTAGTAAGCATAATCTATGGGTTATTAAGTTGAATAAGTCAAAAAAGGTAAATTCAAAATTAAAATATAAATTAATAATATTTTTTTTAAAAAAAGCTGATCATGTCAATCAAAAAAGCAACTTAGACGGGAGATATGTAGCTAAAGTTTTAAATGAAGAAGAATATAAAGGTATTTATTTAAAAATTATTAACAAAAAATGAAAATATTTAATTGTTTTTTGTATAGCCGAAACTGTTAGCCACGATTTAAGAATTGCAATATAATAAGGAAGATAGGCTAAAGGTTGGAATTAAGAATAATTAGCTTTGTAAATTTAAGAAAAGAAAAGTGTTATTTCAGATTATGAAAGCGGAAAAGCAATTCCTAACCCTGGTGTTATTAATAAATTAGAAAGAGCCTTAGGTGTAAAATTGCCTAGAGAAAAAAGAAAAAAATAAAGAAGAATAGTGAAAAATATATATTTATTTAGATAATTTACTTATTATTAACACTATTTTTGATAGATTTTGATAAATAATATAAATAAAGATAATCAAATATATTAATATAAATTTTATTTAAAAATAAAAAAATTTTTTTCTTCATATATATATTTATAAAATTAATATATAAAAAATAATGATTAAGATAATTAATATTTTTTAAAAAAATATGAAAATTAATTAAAAAATAAATATTTCAAAATAATTTTTTAAAAAATAATAAAGTTAATTTAATAAATAATACTTAAATAATATTTTATAATTATTAATAAACATATTAAAACAAATAAAAAGACCAAATTTTTTAATTTTATTTGCAATATGAACGATTTAAACAATATATTAAAGCAAACTTAAATTGACGGAAAAATAGATATAAATTAATTAAATTAATATAACTAAATATTATAATAACTTTGGCTCGGAGGATAAAGTTTAAATTAGGATAATATAAAAAATAGTAATAATGAAGAAAATGAAGGAAATAGTAAAAATTAATTATAAGATGATAAAAATAGTAAAAATGCATTAAGTTATAAAATATAATAAACATAAGAGGAAAAAAAAGTAAAAAAATTATTTAAAATAATAAAAAAAAAAATATAATTAAATTAAAAAATCAAGATGAGAATATAAAAGAAGAATAATAATTTAATATTTAAAAATTAGAATAATTATAATAATTACAAAAATAATAATAAGAACAATTAATGATATTTCAATAATAATAATTGTAGTAATAATAAATATAGCAATAATAATAAATTCAATAACAACAAATACAAAATTAAACTCAACGATAATAAAATATATATATACCAAATTAAAATTACTAATAATAATAATAATAATAATAATAATAATAATAATAATAATAATAATCTAATAATAATATTAATTATTAAAATCATCCTTTAGTAAATTTTTTTAATTCGTATTCTATGTTTTTAAATGATACTTGTAATATTTAGCTTGATTAAGAAGTAGTTCTTTCCAAATTAATAGAAAATTCACTTAAATGTAAGCCTCCATCAAAGTATTAAAAACATATATTATAATAAAATTAATATAATGTATTTTAGTTCTAATGAATAAATAATATCTTTATGGAATTACATTACAAATCTTGATAAAGTTTAAATTGAAAGTTATGAGAATTAAATTAAAGGATTATCTGATTAATAAACCTGTGAATTAATTTAAACTATTGAAAAATTATACATCAAACTTATGGTAGAATATAATATTGAAGTTGAAAGAGGTAAAAAATTAGGAATTATTAAATCAAACTATAATTGATAAGTCTATATTATTATTATTTAATTTGATTTAAAAATTAATAGATATTTATGATTATTAATTTTATTTTAAATTAAAATTTTATATAATATATTTTTTTTAAAATGCAATTAACTTTTTTTATCATATATATATATAAATAATATAAAAAAAAATACATTTGCAAATATAATTTTTTATATTTTAAAAAGATATGTTATAAAAAATTAAATTAAAATATATAATATATTAAATAATATTTTTTAAATAAAATCATTTATAAGAAATAATATAATCTCTAATAAATTTTGGTAAAAATGAATATCTTTTTTAAACATTATCAATTTTCCTTTTAGTCTCTTCATCTAATTCAGTCAAATACATTCTTTCATCAATAAAATCGTAAATTTTCTAAAGCGCCAATTCCTAATCACTCATTTAATTAAGTGCGAATTTAATAATTCCTAAAGCCAAACCTTAACATTCTACATCTCTATATATTTTTTTAAACTAATCGCCTTTTGCTTAATAAATTTTCGTTTTTTCAAAACTTCCATCAGTTTTAATCTAAATCATTTTCCAAGCATTTCCATTAGTTTAAATAGCTCTACAAGTAGTTATTTTAGAATCTTTTGCCATCATATTAGTTAAAGCCCAAATAGCTGCTCCAAGTAATTCAGCTTAATTGAAAAGCTCTTCTTCCATATCTAGTGTATTTTTGAATTTTCTAGCTCGAATTACAGGAATTAAAGGTATTTTATTTTCTCTATTATATATAAGGAAGTCTATCTTTCCATGAAAATAACAACTTTATGAAGGTAAGCATTTATAATCATAATAATAGTCAAATCCGGTATTTTTTAGTGCTTAAAAAATGAATGTATCTATTAATTCAGCTTCATCTTTATCATCAAAAAACTATTTATTTTTAAAATATTTCATTTTTAGTTAAAATTCACGATCAGCTTTTGCATCTACTTCCTATATTAATGGAGTCCATCTAAAAGGGGAAAATAATTAAATGTTTTTCGAATAATTTGTATATGCTTCAATTATTGAATCGTCTAATTAATTAAAAGGAGGAATTATTGCTTTTGAAGGCGTAATAGATGCATAGTCTTTTGGTTTTTAATTTTACAATGATATTTAAATTTCTTGGGCATTTTGATCTATTAATAATGTGGACGAATTTAAGTTTATGGACTTTATGGTTTATATTTTTTAAGGTTCTGGAATTTTCTATAATGGGACTTCTTTTTCTTTTTAAATCAATTGATTTTGGGTAGGATCGAATTCTAAAGGTGAAGGGTGTTCTTGCTTTTATTCTTTGTTTTTATTGAATATGTTGAAAATGTGGTTTTTTCTTTTATATGCAAGACTCGAATGAATAAATTTAAAATTTTTCATGTTTTTATATTTATTTTATAATTTTCTTAATTTTAATTAATATTTTCATTATTTTTATTTACAAAAAATATATTAAATTTATTATTTAATAAAATCATTTTTTACAATAAATATTTATAAAATAAAAATTGTATTTTAGATATAAATAAATATTTATATTTAATATTTAAATTATTTATCAACAATTTTATGGAGCTCCTGTTTACCAGCTAAGTTATACACCCCCAATAATATGTATATGTAAATGGAATACAGTTTAGCCTATAAGTATATATATACAATTAAATTTTTAAAAATATATATATATATTTTTAACCCCCATATTCTCCGTCATTAATAATTAATCTATATCCCTTTTTAAGTTAAGGTTCTTAATTTGCAATTTTACTTACAGCGACCATTAGATGTCCTAATAAATCTTTATGCTTATCTTCAGCCTTATTTTTAAATTAATTAATTTCTTTGAAAAAAAAATTATACTTTGCTAAGTTAAGTTAAACCATCTCTATTTTTAGGGACTAAAACATAATGAATTGGAGCTTAAGGATTTATATCTTTAAAACAATAACACTTTTTTTTTGTTTAAAATAAAAAATATATAGAAAATAGTTAAGCATTTTTTATTTTCTATTTTACTAATTCATCTTCATAAATTGGTGTTGAAGGAAGTTCTTTTCTAATTATTTTATCGAAAATAGTATCTTCTTACATTTTTTTTAATATTAAATTATTTTATTATAAAGTTTTTTTTTATATATCTTTGATACTTACTTTTTTATTTTATATTGAATTTATTATAAAATATTTATAATTAGAATTCTATTATTCTAAAAATAATAATTATAAAATTTATTTTATATTAAATAATAGACATAATGAATTAATTAAATAATTTATTAAAAAAATAAAAAAGAAAAAAATAAAAAATATATATATATATATATATTTTTATTTTAATTTATATATAGTAATTTATTAAAAAAATACATATAATTATTATTTATTTCTTTCTTTTTTAAAAATACATTAAAAAAAAAAACCAAAATGAAAAGAAAATTAATTTTTTATATATATTATTAAACTAGGTAAATTATTAAGGTTATTCAGCATTATTTTCATATATTAGAGTTTATATTTTTTTTTTATTATTCATTATGTTTGATAATTTAATAAAAATAGTATTATTTTCTTACTATAAGAATAAAAAAAAATTCAAATAAACTAGCAAAAATAATAAATGTCTTGTCTTTATGTTTTTCTTCTGATTATTTATATTTTTTTATAATTCTTCAAAAAATTTAATTTATGTCCATTTTACTTATATTGTTCCATAAAACTAACCATTACTTAAAAAAATAGAATTTATAATACTATCATTATTGATTAATTATTTTTTCAAAAAGCACTTTTTCAAGAGTAATAACTGCTTAAACCTATACATAACTTATATAATCTAAATCTTATTATAAAATTTCCACATTTTTTTTAAGAAAGGTTTTTATTTCTTAATTGTTGGTTAAAATTTTTAGTTTCTTTTATAATTTCAACTTCTTTTTTCATGTCTTTATATTTGATTAATTAAATTCTTATAAGTATTGAAAATAAAAAAAAAATTAATTCTATTTTTGTAAATAAAAAAAAAATTCTTAAATATTATATTATTTTAAAATAAAATATTATTATAAATATAAAAATGTTTATACTTTTTATAACTAATTAAAACTGAATAAATAAAAAAATATTATATATATACAATTAATTAATTGCCTTTTTTTAAAATAAAATAATAAACTATTTTTCTATATTATTATAAAAATATAAAAAAATAAATAAAAATATTTTTTTTTTAAAAAAATTAAAAAACCTTCATTTTTTATTTAAATACGAACTATTAATCGCTTGTTAAATATCCCATCTATTATTCTAATCATAAGTAAGACAGCTTTTAATAAAATCTTTACATTCATTACTAACACTAGGTTTTTAAGGAAAAATAACTTAAGTAGATTTTAATATGATATTATCCTTTTTTTTTTTAATAAAAAAACAAAAAAATTTAATATGTATATATACATGTAAAAAAAATATAATAAATATATATTTATATAAAAATATTTACTTTTAAAATTTTATCCTAACTCATATTATTCCCGAAAGGTCTTTATCCAAAAATCATTTCAAAGAAAATAACTCCGACACTCCAAATATCAACTTTTTATGAAATCTACGGATTATTTTCAAATTCGAAAGTCTCTGGGGGTAAATACCAATAAGTTCCGACTCCCTAACTAGTTAATTCCATTTTAGTTTATTCATCTTCAATAATTTTACATAAACCAAAATCAGTAATTTTAAGTTCTCCTTTATGAAAGATAATATTCTAAGGTTTTAAATCATAATGAATAATTCTCATTTTTTAACTAGACATATATTTTAATGCATTTAGTATTTATTTTATTAATAACTTTGCCTCTTTTTCTGCTATTACTCTGTATTTTTTTAAATAAAAATATAGATCAGGTCCTTCACAGAATTCTAAAACTGTCGCAAATGAATTCTCATCGATTTCTACTGTATCGTAAAGTTAAACTATATTAGGATGTTTTAACTCAGAATGGATTTTACTTTCCCTAACAGCATGCTTTATGTAATTAGCTTTAGATCTTTCAGACCAATTTAAATTTAATTAGTGTATTTTGCATGCTACTTCTCGTAATTCTATTAAATCATAAGCTTTATATACTTCAGAAAAACCCCCTCTTCCTAATAAAGAAAGTAATTAATACCTCTCACCTAAGCAAGGCCATAATTTTCCATATCGAGAACTAATTTTTATTATATTTTCTTATTTTTTTATTTTATTACTTTTATTCTTCATAAAATCTTTTTTATTTTTATATAAATAATATTTTTTAATGTTCAAGAAGTTAAAGATCTTCACGTAAATCTTATTCTTCCTTTTTATAAAAAAAATAAAAATATAAATAATATATATATATAATACTTTTGTTAAACACTAAAGTTATAAATTAATTCTTTATTTTTATTCGATTTATGAAAGATCATATTCCGTTTATTATTTTTTATTTATTTTTAAAGCCTTTTTGCATTTCTCAAGTTCTTCTTTTGATTATTCTATTTATGCTAATCTTTCATTTATTTTTTAAAAATCAGACCCATCTTGCCATGACTCGTCGAATTTTGTACATTCTCTTACTTAAATATATTCTCCTAATCTTTATTTTTATATTGAAATATTTGTTTTTAACTCTTCTCTTCTTAGTTTTTCTACATTCAGAAGTTATTAACCTATTATTTTCTATACTTTTTATTTATATGCCTTTTATATTATATATATAATTATTTATTTATTTATTTAATTTTTGTTAAAACATACACTAAGTGATTATTAATTAGAAACAAACTATTTTTATAATAATTCCTTTTTAATTTTAAAAAAAATATATTAAAAAATTAAATATAAGAAGGTTATATGTATATATATATATATATTAATAAAATAATTTTTTTTCTTAAGAAATTTTTTATATACCTTATCTTATTCTAAGATTTTAATATAATTATTTTTTTCATTTATAATTTTATCTTTTTATTTAATTTCTTCCAATAAATTATTATATTTAGTTTAAAGTAAAACTTCAGACTATTTTTCTTCCATTTTTTTTTATTTTTCTATATAAATAATTTATTATTATTATTAATTTTCATTTTTATTATTATTAAAATAACTGAAATAATTTGTAATTTTCATATTTCCTTATATAGGTTAATTTATTTATAACTAAATTTCCATAGAGTCACTATCTTCTGAATTCTACTAGCATTTTATTTAGTAATTATTATTATCGTATTTCTTTAATTTTTTCAAACTTAAATGTTATTGCGGTATTTTTCGTTTTTTCGGTGCTTAATTTATATTAATATTTTTATTTTCTTTCATTTAAATTTAATTATTTTATGGCATATTTTCTATATCTTAAGATTAAATATCACTCAACCTTTCAAAAGGGGCCATTAATTAATTATTACTATCTTATATTTGAGATTTTTATATATTACCATTATTTTCTGACACTGTTTCTTATTTTGTAATATTATTTTCATTTATTGGAATATCTAATTATACAGTTTGTTAATTTTATAATTATTCTATTGATTATGGTTACTTTTTTTTTAATTATTTCATATTTTTTATATTTTTTGTACATTAGGTGTTTTTGTCATTCGATTTTGTAATATAATTATTTTGCTTTTTATATCTTTTACATCCATTTTTTATTTATATATTATTTTTTTATTTATTTTAATATTTTTTTGGTGCGAAAATTAAATACTTTTTATTTTTACATATTCTTAATGTAAAAGGAATTTTTCTAAAAATTTTAAATTAATTTTTTTTAAAAAAAAAAAATTATAAAAATAAATGATATATATATTACTTTTAAAATACTACTATACTTGTTTATTATAAAAAACAATAGTATAATAAAAATCAAACTAAAAATAAATAATCAAATGAAAATAAATTATTTAAGCGCGAAAAAAAAATAAAAAAAAAACTAATAAATAAAAAAATATAAAAAAATAATCAATATGTATAATATATCTATAAAAAATAAAAAAAAAATCCAATATGAAGATGAAATCTAAATAAAAAATGATTAAAAACTTAGAAAAATACCAATTGAAAAGCGTATAATGAGCAACCAGCATTTAATAACAATAGATGGAATAGATATATATTTTCCTTATAGGCCCTATCCATAATAAATAATGTATATGTCAAAGGTTATATAATCATTAAATTAAGGAAATAATTCTCTTCTATAAAGCCCAACAGGGACTGGAAAAACACTCTGCCTATTATGTGCAACTATAGCATGGTTGAAAAAATATAGAGAATAAAATTAAGAAAATATAGATAATGTGCCACCTAAAAAAATAGTATATTCATCAAGAACACATAGTTAGATATAATAAGTAGTAAAAGAGTTAAAACAAACAATATATAGACCACGTATTACTGTTTTAGCATCCAGAGATTAATATTGTTTGAAAAAAGAATACTAAAATTTAACAGATTGGACATTAATTTCTTATTGCCAGAAAGCTATAAATGGTGTAATTTATATATAATATATTAATATATAAATATATAAATATATAATATATATATATATATATTTATATATATTTATATTAATTAATTTTATATTATTTAAATTTTATAAATTTATATGTCTATTAATATAAATAAAGAATGATCCAGAACATAGTTGTAAATTTTATTAAAAAAATCATGAAAATCTTGAAGAAATTTTTTCTACAGATATTATGGATATTGAAGAATTAAGACAAAACGGTTAAAAAAATGGTTTTTGTCCATATTTTCATTCACGTCGTGTCAAAGATTGCGTTGATATAATATTTATGCCTTACAATTATATATTTGATAACTAAAATGCATCACCTTTTAATATTGAATTAACAAATTCCATATTAATATTTGATGAAGTAAAATAAAAAATCTTAAAAATATAATTAATAAAAAGGCACATAATATTGCTAAAATAGCTGAAGAATCTACTTCATTTTCCATAACAATAAAAAATTTAGAAGCCATAGAGACTGAAATAAAACTTTTGAGGGAAATAATATAATCATATAAGGACCCTAATACATTTCGTTAAAAAAAAGAATCACATAAAAATAAAATAAATAAACTGTAAGAAATAGATACTTAAGGTTTGCGTTCATCAAACTAAGATTGCGATTTAATACTCCAACACATACTACCATTTAAAAAATATTTATAGAAATTTATTGAAAATATATAAAAAAATCCCGAAAATAGCGAGACTATAATAAGTAAGGAAGGTCGTGATATTTTCTAAATTCTGGAAAATAATACTATTCCTATTTAATTATAAGAAAATACACTAGATACATATTTTTAAGAAAATAATAATACTTTTTAATAAAAAAAAGAAGGATTAAAAATTACTAATTTATAAGAATATATTAAAAAATTAGTTATGGCAATCGAAGATTTATCTACTACATAAAATTATGGATTGGATAAATGGATGCTTTTTTTGAGCAAAGTTTAGAAGCTTTTATGCGTTGAAAGTGAATTTCTTTTAGCAAAAAAGCCTAATCATTTACGAAATACAGATAACACTATTAATTGTTTTAAATTATAAATAGAAGTAGAGCCTGAAAACGAACAGAGTGAAATTTATATGCAATGTTTGGACCCTTCTGTCTCCTTTTCTTTTATAAAGATAAAAAATCCGCATTCTATATTGCTTACTTCGGGTACTTTGGCTCCTTTTGATTCTTGGGAGTTAGAATTGAAGATTCCTTTTCCAATTATTTTGAATAACTAACACGTAATTGATAATAAAAAGAACCTCCTTGCAGGTATATGTATAAAAGGTCCTTTAGAATAAGAATTAGAATTCACATATTAAAATCGTTAAAAAAATTTAATTTTGGATGATGTAGGTTTAACTCTATTGAATTTATGTAAATTTATTCCAAATGGAATTTTAGTGATTTTTAATTCATCTTCTTCATATTGGAATTGTAGAAAATAATGGGAAAACGGAGAACATAAAATAATGAATAAATTAAAAGAACATAAATAGCTTTTCTTTGAACCTAAAAATTCTTATGAAATGAATTCTTTTATGAAAAATTATACTTAAGCAGCTAAAAGTAAATAAGGGGCTATTTTGTTTGCTATTTGTCGTGTATATATAATTTATATTCTTATTTTTTTTTATTATTTATTTAAACGAATAAAGGGAAAAGTTTCAGAAGGAATAGATTTTTATGATGAACTTGCTAGAGCTGTTTTTTTAATAGGAGTACCTTATCCTCCTGTAAAAGATATAAAATTGATAAATAAAAAATAGTTTTTGGATAATATATATAATGATAAAGATATAAAAGGTTCAAAATTAAGTGGGAAGGATTGGTATTTTTAGTAAACAGTAAGAGCTATAAATTAAGCTATAGGAAGAGTTATAAGGCATATAAACGATTATGGTTCTATATATTTATGCGATACTAGATTTGCTAAAAATGATATTAAAAGTCAAATAAGTTCATGGGTTATTTAAGATAATTGTCTTTAAATATTTCAGTGTATTGGTTAAGCAGTTGTTTAAACAAGAAATTTTTTTATTTAGAAAAAAAAGGATGAAGAAGAAGAAAAAAAATATATAAATAATTGCAAAAATTCATTGTCAGATTTAAGTAAAAAAATAGTTTTTAATTCTTCAAATAATATAAAAGATAATAATAATAAATTTAATAATAATAAAATAAATAATAATAAAGATAATAATAATAATAATAAAAATAATAATAATAATAATAATAATAATAATAATAATACTAGTAATAATAATTTTAATTCTAGTAATAATAGTAATAATTTTGATGAATTAAATAAATTTAACTTCTAGAAAAGTAATAACGAATAAAAAATTTAATTTTAAAATAAAATAAATTTAAAAAATGATAAAAATTCTGTAAAAAATTTAAATAATTAAACATAATAAATTGAAAAAAAATCTTAATAATCTACATTATTTTAATTTTCAAAATAATAAAATAAAAATTCTATAAATACTGAATAATAATAATAAAAATTAAATCTTTAATAAAATAATGACTTTCAATTATAATAATTATAATAATAAAATATTTAAAATTTAAATATAATAAACTAATTAGATATTACTAACAATTAAAATTTTCAGCAAAATTCTAACTCTAATTCAATTAATTAATAAAATTTAAATTAAAAATTCGAATAAAATATAAATTTAATAGCATAAAATTCTTACTAGAATTTATAAGAAGACTAAAATTTATAATATTAATCTAATTTTAAAAATCCTCAATAAAAATTTCCATTTTCAAATGCAGTTCAATAATTGTTAACTCAATCAAATTAAAAACGTTTTATTTAATAAGAATACCCAAAATTTTCAGAATTTGAATCAAATACTCGTTTAAATTAATACATAAATAAATGGTTAAATGACTAAAAAGTACTTTACTAGAATCAAGAAAAGGACCTTATACGCCAAATAAAATAAATAAGTTAATATTTTTCTTCTAAAATGTTTTATAATTAAGAAAAAGAACTATAAGAATACATAATTTTTTAATTATAAAAAATACAAATAATAGAAATTGATAAGCTTTACTTTTTTTTAAAAAAACATTATTTTTTTGGTCTTCCCGAAGATAAAAATATACATTTTTCAATTTCTAAATTAAACGAAAAAAATTCAAAATAAGAATAAAATTATTTACTAAATTAAAATTTTTGCTAAAAAAAATATTTTATTTGGAAAGAAGAATCTAATGAAATTTCTTTATCTATTATGCAATAAAATACTCTTTTTATTAAATAATACCCTTTTTTATTTAATTATTAAAATCAAAAAATTTCCAAAATTAATGAAAATGAAGACATTTCAATCATCCAAGTTAAAATTTTATAGACATAAGATTAATTAATAATACCTCATATAGATACTAAAAATACGGCTTTTCTTACTTTTATAGATTAAGCCACTTTGGAAATCACTAAAAGGATTAAATAAGACGAAAATGTACTTTTTATATAAACAAACTCGCTATTAATTGCATTTTTGTATAAAGAAAATATTATATTCATTAATTTAGAAGGCGAAATCGAATTTTAAATTGACATAGATTAAACATATGATTATTTATTTTTTGAATAACAAGAGAATTTCACAAAAATAGTTCTTTTTTCTTAAAAATAAGGAATTATTTCCGTTATATTTTGTAATGAAAAAGGTTAAAAAGAAAACGAAAAAAAATTGTTTTACGACCCATAATTAGGAGAGATTTTAGATGTGAAATTTTCTGAAGAAAAAAATCCATATTTATTAATTCATTTCAAAAATAAATTTTTCTTTGAAAAAATTGATTTTTTGGAAGAAAGTTCTATTTGTAATGAATTTTCTTTAAATAATATTAATGGAAATCTTTTAAATATATATATATTTGATAATCTAATTTTTAGGATATATGATAATGATATTACAGTATAAAAAAAAGATTAACCTAACGAAGTTTCAATTTTTGAAAATAAATAAAATAATTGTTTTATTATTTAAGGTATTGTAGATTAAATTAAATAGTCTTTTTTCGAAATTAAATTAGTTTTAGAAGATGATTTATTCGAATTTTTTTATTTGAATTTCTTTTGAAATTTTTTTTTTTATTTTTTTGTATAAAATAATATTTTTATTTTTTTACTTTAAAATTATTTTCGTTATTTTTTTAATTTTTTTTTAAAAAAAAATATTAAATCATTATATTAATAATTAATTAATTTTTATAATATTTTTTTTTCTTTTTTCCATAATTCTTAAAAAATTATCACTAAAAAAACAAAAAAAAATATGGGTTGTTTAACACTGAAATAAAAAAATGTATAAAAATAAAATAGAAAAATATTATGATAATATTTTTATATAAAACTAAAATAAATAAAAATCAAGGATTTATCTCCTAAATTAAGAGATAAAGTACTAGGAATATTCAAAAAAATAGATGTAGACGGTTCAAAAGCAATAGATAAAGAAGAAACAGCAAAATATTGGTTTTTAATTTAAAAATAAAATAATTAAGAATTTTAAAATAATAAAAAAAGGAAATCAAATTTTGCAAAATTAAATACAAATGAATTATTTAAAGCTGTAGATTTTGATAATAGTGGATAAATAACAGAAGATGAATGGCTTGCATTTTGGTAAATAGTAAAAAAAAGTGGTCACACAGAAAAAGAAATAAGTGAAGAAGTTTAAATTTTTTTAATTTAAAAATAATTTGAATAATAAATAAACAAAAGCTTGATAATTTATAGGAAGGAAAAACTTGGATTAAATTTAATAAAGTAGATTAATTTATAAAGAGGGATTAAATGCTAAAATATTAAAATGTTAATAAAATAGTAGATTAAGAAAGAAAAAAACTTGTTTCCGATAAAGGTATATAAAAATATTTTATATTTTAACTTTAAGAAATTTTATAGAATTAAAAGAATTGAAACATCCAAATATAGATATTGAAAAAAAAGATAGAAATTTAAAAAATGTTCATAATGAAAATTTTTGATTTATAAAATAAAAAATAAAAGAGTTTTTATATTAAAATAGCTTAAACTTTTTTTATTAATTTTAAAAAAAAAAAAAAAAATTTATTACATACTAATATATATTAATTATATTTTTCTATTGTTTCAAAGAATTAATTATATAAGTTTTGATAAATTTTTTAAAAGATTAATAGATAATAAATAATATATATTTATATATAATATTTATATATTATATATCATCTTATTTTTTTATTAGTAAAAAATTATGTTTATTTATTAAAATGAAATTAAAAATTTGTTAATAAATTTATTAAATAAATATGTAATAAATAAATTTAAATTTAAATTTATTTTTATACTGTAAATAAAAAGTTATCTACTTATGTTTTTTTCAATTTCTGAAAATATAATCAAAGTTTTTTTTTATTTATTAAGAAGAATTTTATTATTAGTAAAAATTAAAAATATAAAATAATACATAAAAAAAAAATTAAGTAATAAATTATTTATAATAAATATTATTTTTATTAATAAATATAAATTTATTTATTAAAATTTTTTAAAGTATATATTATTTAATCGATTTATATAAAAATTTATCCTTAATTTTAAAAATCATTTAATATTTGGTGCTAAATAAATAATAATAATTTTTTTAAAATACAATAATAAATTTAAAAAAGATTATATTCTTTATCTGTATTTATATTCAATTTTATTTTAATTATTCATGTTACCTTTGTAAACTTAATAAATTTTACAAATAATATATAGTTTTTAAACGCATTAACAATATTAATACTTAAATGTATTTAATATTTATATTTATTTTTATTAGTATTAAAAATATTTTCTAATTTAAATATACATTTAAATAATAACATATTAATTAAGAATTTTTTTTAAAAAAAATATATTTTAAAAATTAATTTAATCTTTATAAAAACTAAAAGAAAATAAAACTAAATTTTAAATATAAAATATACTAATATATTATATTTTTTTAAATACATTTTTTTGCAAACAAACAAACAAAACCTTTAGAAAATATGAAAATATAATTATTTAACGTTAATTAGAAAATTCAGAAACCTCACTAACAGCAATAGCAATAAACAGTATTATTTTAATAAAAAAAAAAGAAAAAATAAGTTATTTGTAAAAATAAAAAAGTTAATAAGTACACTTAAATAAAATAATTAAATGAATTAACCTTAATATATGGTATAATAAAAAGCCTTACAGCAGTAAAGTTTTTAGTAAAAGCAATAATATATACCTAAAAAAGTAATTGAGAACTACTCATATTAATTAATAGATTAAATAGGTAAAGGATATAGTTCGATAGTATTTAAAGGAAAAAATGATGCTAAGAATGATGAGTTAGTAGCAATAAAAGTAATAGATATGAAAATGATGTCGAATGATGTTTAATTATTTTTATTATAAAATGAAATAAGTGTAATGAAAAAATTAGCAAATTCTGGCAATATAAATATTTTAAAATTAAATGACATTTTTTAAACATAAAACAATACTTATATAATAACTGAATTATGCAATTAAGGAGATTTAAAATAGCTTTTATCTAAATGTAAATACTTAGAAGAAGATCAAGCTCTAAAAATATTAAAACATATCGTTAATGGATACAAAGAATTAGCTAAAAATCGAATAGTGCATAGAGATATTAAGCCTGCAAATATTCTGATTAATAACGGAATTCCTAAAATCGCTGATTTTGGATTTGCTAAAGATATTGATGCACCTCCTTATAAATATTATTATAATGTAGGAACTCCAATGTATATGTGTCCTTAAGTATATAAAATTAATAATAAATAAGAATATATTAATATATATATATATATATATATAATATATATATATATATATATATATTTTATAATTTTTATGATTTTATAATAGAGTTTATAAAAAAATGAATATTCAATGAAAAGTGATATATGGTCTATTGGTATTCTTTATTATGAATTACTTTATGGAGTTACCCCTTGGAATGCTGATAACGAAAATAACTTAAACATAAAATTAATACTATAGGAGTAAAATTTCCAAATTTTAGAAATGTATAAATTTATTTTTTATAATATAATATTATTATTTATATAATTTTAATTTATTACTATATTTTTTTAAATTATTAATATTAAAATAGATTATTAAATAATTAATTTAAAATCATTTAAAAATAATTAAATATAAAGGTTTCACATGAGTCAAAAATCTTTATTATAGGTTGTCTTTAAATAGAAGAGAATTAAAGATTTAGTTTAGAGTAAATAGAAAATCATCCTTTAATGGTAAACACTAAAAAAGAATAAGTTTTTTCAAAATCATAAAATACCTCCTAATTGAATGTAATAACTACACAAAAAAATAACATTCAAAGTGCATTTAATATATAAATAACAACATAATAATAACCAATTATTCCTATATATTTTAACTCTTAATAAGAAATAGGTAAGGAAAATTCCCCTCCTAAAAAATTAAAAATAGAATCACTTCAACTGATTTCAAATATTTAAGTAAGTATAAAAAAAAAAAAAAAATTAAAAAATTATAAAAATTATAAAAAGTAAAATTTAATTGAAAAAAAGATATAATTATAAATAATAAAAGCTAAATTCAAATATTAAGAGAAAATATTAATAAGCAAGATGAAGAACTAGAATAAAAAAATTAAATTTCTGAAAACTAACACAATGACTTAAAAATAGAAGAATTAAAAAGAGCAAAAAGTATAAAATTATATCAAGAATAATATTAAATAGTATAGTAATATCCTTAAAACGATAAAATAATATTATCATAAATAAACATGTGTAGATATTTATTTAGGTTATCGAAATTAGCATAAGAGACACAAATAATAAAAACAGAACTTTTAAGAGAAAAAATGATATTCTTAATAGTAAAAAATATAATGATACACATATAAAAACTTAGTAAAATGTGTGAGACTAATACAAATATATATAATTTATAAGATTGGTCATTATATACAAAAACAGAAAATTATAATCGATTAAAATTAATAATTTCTGAATATAATTAGAAATATATGGTCCATTTTAATTTAATTCAAGAAGAATATAAAAATCTGGATTTAAGTTCAGATAAGAAATTCGATGCTATTTTCGATAATAATTTCGTTGAATTTGAAAGCTTTTACATTATTTTACTTAGTTTTCTTATTTTTACTATTAGAGAAATAAATTATTCGTTAAAAAATAATATAAGATATGAATAAGAAGAACTTTCAATTACAATCTAATAAAATATTATTTTTTTGGATTATCTTATTACTTATTTCTAATTAAATAATATTATTCTAGAAAAGTTTAATGATTATGAATACTTCGCAGAAAACTCAAAAATCGAATAAATTGCAGAAGGAAGACCAGTGAAATTAAATAAATCTCATTATAAATAAATTAGAAATAAAATATAAACATTATAAATATGAGAGTAAATATATATATATATAATATACTTTTTTATTTAGGTAGAGAAAATAAAAAAATATATTTTTTAGGAAATAAAAAAAATCTATTATAAATATATTTTATATAAAAAATTTTATTTCTTTTAAATATAAAAAAATTAGTTGAAAAAAGTAGACTTTAATATTAAATTATATATTATATTATTATCTTTATATATAAATATATATTTTTATGATTTTAAAAAATGAAAATATATTTATTTTTTAAATAAAAAAAAAAAGTTAAAATTTTATTGTTATTATAAAAAAAATCAATAAAAATAAAAATTAAAAATACTTTTTTGTCAAATTGTATTATTGATTTTTCTTATGTCTAAAAATTCTTCAAATTTTAAAATCGAATTTAATTCCAAAAGGAAGAGGAGGAAAACGACTAAAATCAACTAACTTATTTCCTAATTGAAATTAAAATGAAAAAGCAACTGCTATATTTTTCCAATTTCTTTTAAGAGCGAGTTACAAATTTTAATCAGTACTAATTTTTCCCCTAACAGTAATATCTTTGTCCAAATCATGTTTAAAACCAGCAGTAAGAGTATTTTTCTTTTTATTATTTTCTACTTCTATACTATATTAAGTTTAGTTATTTTAATTATAACTCAAAGTAGTAATTATTTTTCCACACTGAAAAAAAAAACAATTAAATAAAAAGATAATAAATATATACATATATAAATATAAATACAGATATATAAATATATATATAATTATAAAAATAAATTTGTACTTAAAATTTATGTGATTATTAAGAATTATGTTATAAATATAAGTCAATTTAACCATTTTCATATCCAGCAATAGCATCATATCTTGTAAGTCCTTTTCTCCAATCAATTAAATCAGCTCCTAAAACCCAAGCAAAAACAAAGTTATTTCTTCTAATGAGATTTCTATGTGTAAATCCTAAATTACAATCCTCACCACCTAAATTTACATTTAATCTAGAATTAGATTCAAAATTTTTGTCGAAATAATTTGTTCCGAATCTCCAATTATATTTTCCAAAAGTTGTATTAGTTTTTAAATTTGAAAAAAAGTTATAGTTCCTTCCTTTTAATATTAAACTTCCTAAATCTATATGGAATTTCAAATCTCCACATCTTCTTTACGCTAATTCTATTATGAATCGATCTAAAAAGACGAATTATAGTTTTCCTTCGTCTTTTAATTCATAAACTACCTACCCATTTTGCTTTGAAGTAATTATTTTTGCCTTATACTCCGTCTTACCACCTTAAGTTGTGTTACCTTTGAATTTATAAGTTTCGAAGTTCGAATGAGTGTAGTCGTCTGATAATACATTTTTGTTAAAGTTTCCTAAAGAAGAGAAAGAATCATATCTTAAAGATTAAGCTGTTGAAGCCATTTTTATTTTAATAATTTATATTTTATTTTTTAATATATTTTTTTATATTATTTTATTTATTTTTTCCTTTTTTTTAATTATAAATATAGATAATTTACTAATATGAAAAACAATATATGTATTTTGTTTGTTATTTTATATACAGTTTTTCATTTACAGTATTTTTGATGTTTTATTTATTAAATATAATATAGGTTTATATTTTTGGTTTACATAATATCTTTTTTTTTTCTTTATTTAATAAATAATATGATTCATATGTATATAGAAAATACAAAGATTAATATTATTATATTATAAAAATAATTTTTAAACTAAAATATTATCAATTATAATTTTGTATTAATTAAATAAAAAAAATTAAAATATAATAAAATTATATTAATTATATAAATAATAAAGATAAAATATATATATTTTCATATATTTAATAAATATTATATTTTTTTTTATTAATAATTATCTATAATTATATTTTTATACTATGATTTAATTATTTTAATTTTTTATATTTTTTTTTCTCTCAAATATTTTTGTATTCAAGCATAGATATTATTATAAAAAAATATAAAATTAATAATAAATAAAAATATATTTTAAATAATAATTTATTTATTTTTTTTATTTTTTTAAAATGAAACTAAAAATATTCAATCACTATCATTAATTTGAAAAGCTTATTAATTTACTAAACTTTTCTAATTTTTACTAAAACTATTAAGTATGACACTAGAAAGATTTTAATCCTAAACATTCTAATAATCAGTTATAATAGCGTCTTAAAATTATTTCTCATTTACTTTTTATTGTTTTTCGTTTTAAAAATTTTATAACTTTTCTAATATAAAAAATTATTCTTCACTTAATTTATTAGGATTTTTATTTAATTATTCTTAAAGTTTTATTAACTAACTTTCAGTAATATTTAGCTTTTCACACACTTCATTTATATCGATTTAAATGATATCATATTCATCGCTATAATCTTCTATTGGTTTAATACTTTATAGGTTTAATTAGAGTTCATTTTTAATATTTATAGGTATATCTTTATTATTTTAAGCAAATTATTTATCATAATTTTTCACATAATACAATTTATTTATACTAGAATCTCTTTTACTTGATTTTCCATAAAATCCAAAAGAGCTCTCATCCGAATCATTGACAACTTTTTTAAAAGAATATTATATATTTATTGATTTTTTAAATAAAAAATACTTGATTTGTCAGCTAAATCTTATTCAGTGTTTTTTATTATAATTTTTTTTTTTTTCTTTTTTAAAATATTAATTTTATTATTTTATTAAGGAATTTTTTTTATACATATTTAACTCTCATCATTATCTATTTCATCTTCGTTTTTTTCATTTAGAATTTCGTTATTATAAATGTCATCAATATTAAGTCCTTTTTTTTTAATTGCAACTAATAATTTTACCATCTACTACTCTTTAATTTAATAAAATTCTAGTTTTTATTATTATTCCAGTATATAATCCCTAAACATTTCATTCTCTTTACAAGTTGAAAGGCTTTATTCTTGACCTCTTTTATCACAAACAGTTATAATATTATTGATTTTTTTTTCTCTTTTTTAAGTTTAAGTTTCGACATCTTTATAGTTTTTTTGAATATTTTATATTTTATTATTTTAGACTTCTTCATTTAACAAAAAAATATTTTTTTTTTACATTTCAACTATTTCTTCTAAAAAGGAATTTTATTTTTTCAAATCATCATTTTTTTATATATTTAATTGATTTATTTCAGCCAATTTTTCAATTAAAATTTTCAAAAAATCATTTTATTTCTAATTTTATAGAAGATATTAAAAAATAATATTTATTATTTGAGTTAAACTTGTTATTTTTTTTTAATTTAATTCCATATATAATTGCTAATAATTGTTATTTTATTGATTTTCGATGCTTTATTTATTAAAAATCTATAGATTTTCTTTACTATTAGACTAATATATTTTATTTAAATTTTAATTTTAATAATAATTATTCTGAATATTCCTATTATTATTTTTTAATGCATTATTTAAATTTTTAGTATTATTATTATTATTTCCAATTATATTATCGTTATTATTATAAATAAAAAAAGTTTAGTTTTGGTTATTTGCATTCTAAAATATTTAATTCTGGCTTTAACTTTTATGATCAGATTTAGAAAAATTTAATTTATTTTAATTCATTTTTTTTTCTAAAAAAATATTGCCTTTACTCTTATCATTTTTCATATTTTTATTTATGATTTCTCTCATGTATAAGTTAGAACATTTATCAATTACACTCATATTGTTAATCTTATTTTTTTTTGCATTTTATTATATTCTTTACTTTAGTTTAATTTAATTTAATTCAGATACCGTGTAATTATGTAAAATATTTTAAAAATTATTTATATTTAAACTATTATTTAATATTTTTGATTAGTTTATTAATTTATTTTATAAGTTCCCTTTATTATTTTCGTATGATATTTTTCTGATTAGCGCATTATTAAAACAATTTTTAGGACTTGCAATACTATTTTTAAATTCTTAAGCACTTTAGTAGTTTTTATTTAGTATTTATTATTATATATTTGAGTATACAGGAATATATTTTTGTTATAAATAATTATTAATTTATATGAAATTATTATCTGTATTCATTGTATTCATATTTTTATATTTTATATATTTTTATTTATTTTTTAATAAAATTATGTTTTTTATATTTTCTTTATATTTTTTTATAAAATCAAATTATTTTATTCAAATTTTTAAACTATAGTATATATATTTTATTTTATAATTATTCGAAGTCATAGATAATTTTAAACTAGAGTTTATAATAAATTGATATATAATAATGTAATTTACTTTTTTAAAAAGTGAACTAAAATAATAACTCATTTAAATAAAGCTATTAACAAAAATCTAATTTAAAATAAAAAAGCAAGCATTTAATTTTATATAAAATATAATAACATTTAATTTTATAATCAATTTTTTAACTTTTAATTTTAATTTATTGTTTTAATAATATTTTATTTATAAAGAATATTTCGATAGTATATAAATAAATAGTAAATATGAATAGTAGTAATATTAATTAACCAAAATACAAATCATAACACTTAAACAACAATTAATATATGCTTATAGATGATAATTCTTCTTAGATTGATGAATCTTCTTAATTTTAAAATTTTAAACTACCTTAATTATCATAAGTAATAAATTTAAAATTCAAGTAATAATAAAATCACTTTTAAAATATATTAAATAAGCCTATAAAAAAGAAAAGATTATAATAAATAATTACATGATTAAATGATTCAAATAGTAAAATATGCCCAACATTAAGAAAATATACTCAAATATAGAAACAAAGAAATTTAAAGATTAGAATATTTAATAAAATATTTGACAATAGCTTAATAGAAAAGAGACGAAATGTTACATTATATACAAGAAGAAAACCGAAAACTAAAAGAGACAAACACATATTTAGAAAATACCAAAAAAATATCAATTTCAACTAGTAGTATATCTCATGCTACATAATAATATCTAAATAATCAAAATAACAATACTGCAAATAACAATTATAAATAACAATAATAATTTAAAAATTTAGATGATGAAATAAACCAAGAAAAATATAAAAAACAAAAAAATAAGTTGATTTTCGACCTTTATCAATTCTCTAACTTCCTATAGACTCCGATTTTAAAGAAAGCTGTAATAACAAAGAACATATTTAATTTTTACAAAATGCGATTACAAAAAACGATGATTTTGAATAATTCTTTTAAAATTAAGATTCTGTGTAAAGTCTTCATTTTTACGATTCTATATAAAAAATATTGGCAGATCATAAAGTAAATATTATATTTTATGAAAAATTCTTTAATTATAAATATAAAGGTTTTATTTAAAGCAGTTTTTAAATTAAGAAAATTACTTGAAATGAGTATTGAAATGAACGGAAATCAATCTTTTGAAGATAAAATAAAAGATATTATAAGACAAACTTCTTCATTTTTAACTTGTGATAAAACTTGTGTATTTCTTTTTGATTAAGAAAACGAATAATTAATATCACAAAACTTAAATGAATTTAATAAAATTATAAAAGTTTATTATTCTTTTTTTTTTTAATAAAAAAAATAAGACATATTTAAATTTAATATAAAATAAAGATCTCTATAAATGAAGGACTTATAGGTTAATGCTTTACAAATGGAAAATGTTTAAATATTTAAAATGCATATAATGATGTTAGGTTTAGTTAAAATATTGACAAATAAGTTAATTATAAAAGTAATACTTTATTACTTTAACCTATTTTTGATAAGGAAGGTTTTAATATTATAGGAGTGATATAATCAATAAATAAACTAAATGGTTAATATATATATATTTATATATTAAAATAAAAAAAGGTTATTTTGATAAAGATGATGAAATTATAATTTAAATAATATCAAAACTAATCTAAAAAGTATAATAATGTGATAAAAACATACATTTACATAAATTAATTAAAATGATTAAAGATAATACTTAATTATAAAGATTTTTTACTTTAGAAGAATTTATTTATTAGGCAGAATCAAAATTATAGTTATTATTTAATGTTTAAAAGGGTAAAATATTTATTATTTAAAACAATTAAATTATTAAATTTAACTATTTGAATGAAAAAAATTACGAGAAATAAATTTTTGATATCAATATGGGTATTGTTGGATAAACATATAAATAAAAATAGATGTTGAATATAAAAAATGCATATAATAACTAATTTTTTAATTTATAAATAGATATAGAGTCATAAATGCCTATTATATCAATACCTGTTTACAATAATGTATAAAATAAAATAAATATATATAAAATCAAAATTTATTTTATTATTATTTATTAATAGAGCAAGTAAATAATATCTGTCTTATAAGTCGTTAATTAGAAAGGTATTTCCGGAATAACAAGTAAAAATTAATGTCGAATTGAATCTTTAGATTATGAATCTTTGGAATTATTTTGTTTATAAATAGGATAACATATTGATAATATTTTAAATCATTATTAAATATCATGAATGCTGAAAATAATTAATAATTAATAATATATATAAATAAATGATTATTAAAAATATAATATATATATATAATATATATATATATATAAATATATATATATATTTATATATATATTAATTTCTATATATATCTATTTCTATTATTATCATTATTTTCTTTTATTAAAATTTTATTGTTTTATTTTTTAATCAATTATATTAATTTTTTTTTTTTGAAAATAATTAATTATATTTTATTTTTTATTTATAATTAAAAAATAAAATTATGTTTATTGAATTTAAATAGTATTTTTTCTAATTTTTTGAATAATTTAAAGAGTTTTACTTGGCAGTTCCATTAATAAATAAGTAAAAGAATTTTTAAAAACTAATTAAATTATTTAAAGATTAATTTATACGTCATTGGTGTTAAGTTTTTTAATATCAAATTTTATAAGCATGTTTTCAAGCATAAACATAAATAATAAATTAGCAACTAGCTTAGATAATACTTTGCATTAACTTAATTGTATTAAAATTTCTATTTTAAAATATTTAAAAATAAATAAATTAGTTTACACTATATTTTTATCATTTTTATTTTCGAGTAGTTTTATTAATGTAAAAAAATATTTTTATAAAAAATTTATTTTAGAAACAGTTAGTTATAAGTATAAATCTAAGCTTCTAATTATCAGTTTAATATGAAAAGTAAAAAGGATCAATAATATTTTTAATTTATTTTTATTATCAAGTAAATAATATTTTTAACTGAATTTTTTTAATAATATTAATAATTAAATATCAAGATTTAATGATATAATTCCTTTTTATTTTAATTTTAAGTATATTGAGTAAATTTGATAAAAAAACAAATTAATTTGGAATATAAGGTTAAAAAAAATTCAGAAAGATAAAAATATTATTTAATCTAAAAATTATTTATATATAGGAATATACCCCTTTGCTATTTAATTAATTACTGAATAAGCATAAAAAAATTTCGATGAACCTATTATGTATCTTGAAAAAAAAAACACATATATAAATAAAAAAAAATAGGATGCTTTAAACATTTTAAATAAAATAAAAATTTTATTTGATTTTGATTTTTTTCTTGTAATTTTTCTATTGTCAATATATATATGATTTTTTATGTGCATTCTTGATTTCAATAATTTATAATAGAATAATAAAAACCTCTTATTTTAATTAAATAATTAATAGGGTTGAATAAAGTAATGTAGTTAATAGAATATAAGGAAAATTTAATGGTAATTTTTATAAAAAATGTTTTAAAAAACTAAAATAATTAGGATATATTAATATAAACAAAACTAATAATATACAAAGTAATTTATAAAAATTAAATAGTTCAAATAATAAAATACAAGATTAAGAATAAAATAATAATATCTTAGAAAGTATAAATTATTCATCTATATGAAAATATTAACACAAAATTTAAAAATAATAAAAAATATTTATAATTTAAATAAAAATTATTAAAAAATTCTAAAATA